ATGTATGTATGTATGTATGTATGTATGTATGTATGTATGTATGTATGTATGTATGTATGTATGTATGTATGTATGTATGTATGTATGTATGTATGTATGTATGTATGTATGTATGTATGTATGTATGTATGTATGTATGTATGTATGTATGTATGTATGTATGTATGTATGTATGTATGTATGTATGTATGTATGTATGTATGTATGTATGTATGTATGTATGTATGTATGTATGTATGTATGTATGTATGTATGTATGTATGTATGTATGTATGTATGTATGTATGTATGTATGTATGTATGTATGTATGTATGTATGTATGTATGTATGTATGTATGTATGTATGTATGTATGTATGTATGTATGTATGTATGTATGTATGTATGTATGTATGTATGTATGTACGTACGTACGTATGTACGTATGTATGTATGTACGTATGTATGTATGTATGTATGTAAGTAAGTAAGTATGTACGTATTCATGCATGTATTGTTATTGTTATATGTTGTTATCTGTTTGAGCGTGTCCGGTGGTTATTTATAGGGCACACAATCTGTTGTTCAGTCTGGTGTGGGGCTATCGAGTTCTGCTGCCACTCTGCGAGGTGTTCTTCTGCTCGGTTGTGGGGCTCAATTCTATCGAGTGACGTTGATTGTGGTTGCTGCTGTTATATTTTTATATCCGGACGACTGTGTTTGTATATCTGCGTGTGTGTTTGAATGAATAAATGTTTTCATTTGTGCGTGTGTGTGTGTGTGAAAGAGAGTGAGAGAGAGAGGAGAGAGAGAGAGACAGGACTGATCATTTTGTGTGACTTCATTGGTATGCAGACAACATACATACATTAGCATTCGAATTCTCATTTGCTTGCCAACTTTGCGTGTGCCTGCCTGTTTGTGCGTTTGTGCGCTTGTGTGTGCCCGCGCAACATTTCAAACGCCTAATAGTTTATGCTTTATATTTACTATTTATGTGGTTAATAAGGTCTTACTTTGAATTGTTTGAATAAACATCTGTGTCTGTGATCCATGACGAATGTCAATCAAACGTAAAATAAAATTTTTTAAGTTAGTTTAAAAGTCATTCATAATAAAAATACTAATTCAATTACTGATAGGCAAAGAAAAATGCAAAAAAAGAAGATTATTTGTCCGAGATTCCGTCAATTTTTACATTATTATTATTATTTCCCTACAATCGATACAATGAAACCAGGCTCGCTCTTTGATGATATAAATTAATTATTTCTGAAAAAACTGTTACTACTTAAAAACTTCATTGGTGAGAAAAACGGATGTTCATTCAACAATTCAAAGTAAGACATTCTTGACGAAATAAATAAATTTTGGCATTAAAAAAAACAAAAATATACCAATAAAATTATAAAAAGATATAGAAATAAAAAAACCTTTCAAAGAAGGTATATGATGTTACATCAGCAAACGTGAGAACGATCGAACTGACGACGAGCAATGGTTCATAGGAGTCCTTCGCAGATCAGGTTGTTGTCGGTGCAAGCCAATTAGTAACTCATCTTCGTAATTGTTGTTAAGTCCAGACGTTCTACTTGCTTGTTGTACTGTGTCTGTCGGAATGATCGATTGTTAGAGAAGCTGGATTATATGATGATGATGATGAGGTAGATTGTGAAGATAATGTAGATTGTGATGATGATGAAGATGATGATGATGGTGATGTAGGTGGTGGTGATAATGACGATGAGGATGATGAGGATGATGGCAATGATGATGACGATGATGATGAAGATGATGAATTTTTTACTAGAAAACTGATTTCTGTTTTTCAAATATCCGTCTTCTTCAAAATTTTTGGAGAATCATCAAAATAAGAATCTATATTTACAGTTATCTCCGTTAACCTTCACCATCATAATCATTATCAGCATTATTTTCAACAACATCATCGTCAACCTTATCATGATCATCTTCACCATCATCATCGTCATCACCATCATCATCACCATCATCATCGTCATCACCATCATCATCATCATCGTCATCACCATCATCATCGTCATCAAGTAAGTTATAATTAGCCAGCAATAAGATGGTCCACAGCACTAGCAAGATGGGAGCGCTTTCGTCGTCCTAATCTCCCACGTAAGGAAGTAATGATCAAATACTTCTCATTGCTTGTAATCGGAGTCCA